AGCGCTATCACTTATTCCTGGGAGACTAGTCAGCTGGCAACTGGCAAAAATACCAGAAAGCGAAAAAAGCGGCAAAGAAGGCTGTGGCGGCCGCAAAAGCCTCCCACTTCGTTGAAATCAGCAAGAAGCCGGAAACACGGGATGGCGACGGCTCATTTACCGACTTGCCAAGGTTCGTCACCGCCAGACCGAAGATGTGGAGAAGTTCTTCGGCATCAATGACGAGAAGGGCCGCCTCCCGATGGACCGAACAAAGTTGCTGAGGCGATGGCGCGACTACTTTGGAGAAATTTCCACAGTGGAATATGAACACCCGGCCATCCCCTGCGCATTACCAATATACGGTCCCGTAGATAAGTGTGGAGGAAACGGAGGCGGCTCTCAAGAAAATGAAGCCAGGCAAGGCGACGGGCCCTGACGACGTGGCGGTCGAAGTGTGGAAGTCACACTACTGGCATGCTGCCGAATGGTTGACAACGTTTTTCAATCAGGTCGTTGCAGAGAAGAAAATGCCTGAAGTATGGTAAGAGAGCACGACGGTACCGATCTGGAAGAAAAAAGGCAGTCCTGCAGACTGCTCAAATTGTCGTCCAATTCGCTTGCTTTTGCATAGCATGGAAATTCTTGAGCGAATTGCCGATAAGCGACTTCGGGATATCGTCCAGCTCTCCGAACCAGTGTGGCTTCGTGACTGGCTGTAAGGCCATCGACGCCGTACATGCCGCTCGTCTCTTTCTGGAGGAACATCGTGAGAAGAAGAAGCGTGTTCACCTAGCCTTCCTTGACCTGGAGAAGGCTTTCAACCGTGTCCCACGTGAAGTAATATGATATTCCTTACGGCATGGCATCAGGGCACGCCATTGCGTTGTGATCATTTCCTGAAAAATACGACCCCCCCAATTCCATCTCCAAGTACGACCCCCCTACCTCTTCCTCCCCTAGATTTTTCCAACCTTCTACCACTTTGTCTACTTTTTCCAAAAAGTTTCTGGTTTTTTTACAAAATTTTGCTGTCGAGCGGGGGGGGGTCGCAGTACCTACATACGTCCCAAGCACGTCCAGCACTCTGGCGCTGGTGTAGCATACTGACAATACGTACGAGGAAGGGGCGATGATAGGAGCTACAATCACCGCCCACAAGGGCACCATGAATTTATAATTAAGCAAAAGGACTCACGACGTGACGATTAATAAACCGATGAAAGTACATTCCCGGACTTTTCTGATCGTAGGAGCACATTTGCTTGCAATTGGGAAGCCCTATTCAGAAGTTACACCTTTCAAACACCTGCGTGAAAGCCCCATGCATGGCGCATTTGCTGCGAAAGTAGAAATCTTCAAGCTTCCGGCACATTTTTCTCTTTTACGAAAGGTTTGTGGATGAAGCTTTGCCATGGACGTCCAAATCGTAGCGACTCGCGGGTTCGCAAAAATGATCACAGATGGATCACAAAGATGATCACAACGGGGAAAATCTCTGGGTGGGAACGTTTTTGAAATGCCCTAATTCAGTGATAAGAGCCAACCTAACTCTACTCATTACCGCTCACCCCTCTCCGATAGCTTCACTTTCAACGAAATATGGGTGTTCAAATGAGGGGTACTATTTCACGTGTTTGGCTTGAAATTGGCTCCAAACCGTAAAATAGCGCGCACGAATGCGCTTGTATGAGCGCGCTGACCGCGAACAGCCAAAATTCAAAAGTAATACATAGTTCCGGTTCCAGCTGAAGCGGTGGTTTTTTTTCTTATCCATTTTATGTGAATTACTTTGATTGTTTGTTTTTGTTGAGTTTAATTTGTTTTGTTTTGAATTTGATTTTGTTGTGAGGAAATTGCTCAGGATTCAATTTCTACGGTTTCATAGGTAGCTTTGCAATGATTCTTTTCTAGATTTTGTGGCATTAGTGGATTGGGATTTACCTGGACCACTTGAGGAGGTGTTGGTGAGCGGAAGTGTCTTGAAGTTTTTGTGAGGAAGGAGGAAAAATTTCAGCAATATTTTTTTTTAGTTTTTGGCCTAGGAATAGTTCGATAGTGCCTGGTTCTATTTATTGTCATCTACATCGTCCCTTTTGAGCTTCTCTTTACTTGTACCGTGTATCACTGCTCTCTCCACTTCAACATGGGCCATGCGTTTACGGACCCCCCCCCCCTCCATCGCGGGCAAATACGACCCCCCTATTGTGATGATCACAAAGATGGCGTGCCCTGCATGGCATTCCCGAAGGGCTGATTGAGTGGGCACGCATCTGTACTTCAGCCGACGAGTCGAGTGCGAAGTCCAGCGGGATTTCGAAGGGGTTCCGCATCAGGGTACAGCAGGGGATGTGTCAAATGGCGGTGTGGTACGACCTCCCCAGAAGAGGGTCCAGATACGCACCCCCCCCCCTCTTGCTCTAACTGACAACCAGATGCATGTTACCACAAATGCTTCCCTGAAATGGGATCTGGATTCTCGAAAGGCGCACTCTGCCTCTAAAATACAGGAAATAAAAGGCTGTTTCAGCCCATGCCAATATGAGGCTGAACAACAACCTCGCCATTACCAACAGTTTTGTCTTAGGATTCGAAATAAAACTCCTCGCTTCGATAACTATGTATGACATGCAACTTGTAACAAAGAAACACAATTGAAATAGCGGCTAATGGTGATCAACTGATAGGCTGAATTGGTGAAAAAATAGCCCCAAGGTGAGCGCGTCAGGGCTCAGATGTGCAGTCAATGAATGGTGACGGGGGAAATAATGAAAACAGCACGACACAACAACAAGCGAAACATGGAAAATACAAAAAATGCCAGAGCTAAATGAAAAAAAGGATAACAGGCCGGCAGTAAATCGTTCCATACTTGGCTATTATCGATCAGGCTGCAGGGCGCAAGGCTGGCGACCGCTTTCTTTGGAAAACGTCATTGGAGCGCGGTTGTTGGACTTGCCAACGTCCTGGGGTTGTTCGGGGATATATCTTTTTTTGGTTGCGGAGCTTTGAGGAATGGTGAGCAGCATGCAATGGCAAAGTTTCTTTTATTGTGTATTCTACCTAGCTGCAAACTGAACAATCCCCGTTGGTGAAATATTTCGGATGGGTCACGGTGTCGGCCAGGGTAAATCGCGAGCTGGTTATGATTCACACAAGGACTGCTTCGTTCAAACGCAATTTCATCAGGGACTGAAGTCGCTCTTGAAACCCTCCATCTTTTCTCTTACAATAAGCCTTTACAGCATTTCAGACCCAGTAGTGCCAGGAGATATTTTAGAGGGGTCACAGATGCGCACCCTCTGACCCACCCGAAAAATTGATTCCTTATGTGCCACTGTGAGGATAGACCTTCGGAAACTTCAGTGTGCCTTCAAAACACATACTTCCCTTCAAATAAGTGAAAGAGAAGCTCGGCTATCTCTGATCGATTTGGTCCGTGCGCTGCGTGCATTAGGCTCCTACGCAAAAGTGGTGGAAAGGTGTAAATTCTGATTTCATGCTGCTTTTATCCATGCAAGCAGATGTTTGTTTAGGGTTTGTAAAGGACAACACGCACGAATCTGTTTGAGACTATTATTTAGTCATCTACTACTTACGAGTTCATGCCATAAACTGACACTTTATTTATTTATTTATTTATTTATTCTTGCTGTATTGCTAATAAATCTTTTATTATTCTGAAGCTTTTCAGTCCGTTCCATTACCCTTAGCAATGACACTCTGTACTGTTTGATGCCTAGCGAGCCTACTTTTGCGATACTCCCACGTCCCCCGCGGCCAAGTACGAACCCATTCTGGGGATTTCACTGAAAAGAGGCTGTGAAACGTAGCATTTAAAGCTGTAAAAGAATATACACATAATAAACTCCAACGTCGAGCCATTGCTCGGCTCTGAGTGACCTTGAGATTACGACCCCCCTCTCACGGCCAGGTACGACCCCCCCCCATGGGTTTCACACAACGATGCTGTACCCTGGTCCCGGTACCTCTAGACACAGGAGCAGAAATTTCGTTCATCGACAGAACCCTTGCCGACGAGCTTGCGCTCGAAACAATACTCGGAAAAAACGCTCTTGCTGCACACGTTCGGTTCTGAAGAAATTCAAAAGAAGAAGTGCCGCATTGTACACGTACAAGTTCAGGATGTCGAAGGAAGACCTCATGAACTGGAATTACACATGAGATTTTGATCAAACCACTTCGCACTCCCCCACTGCTTCAAGAAGATACAGAGTTCCTGAAGTCATTGAACATTTCAATTCAGCATAGATGGAAGGAAAAGGCAGTGAAGCCACTGATACTTCTTGGCTGTGACCAAGTGTGGAAATTCTGGAAAACAGATGAGCCACCTGTTTCGCTTCCTTCAGGACTTCAATTACTACCAACAAAAACGGGTAACCTCATAACAGGGAGATATCACCACCCACACCAAGTTCTTGAAGTATTGTCCTCCAGCGAAGCTCAAAAATGGGACAAATATTGGTCATTAGACGTGCAGGTCAATACCGTCTGGGAAGATACCGACTCCTATACAGAAGAAGATAAGTGGGATCACTACTGGACACTCGAAAACGAAGGAACTCAAGAATTCAACGGACCAGAAGAAGCAGATGTGTATCCAGATGCGACATACTTAAGCACACTGATGATAAGATCGCATCCGAGTGTGGACCGGATGGGGACGAACTAGAGGAAGCCTCAACGAAATAAAACATCTCATCTCAACTTCAGCAAGTAAAAGAAGGCACTTCAACTTATTGACGGCAGTCGACCCCAAAAGAAGAGACAACATCGGTGACAGGTTTCTCCAATTCAGCAAGTTCGTATGCTCTACAGTTTCTGTGAAGGAGGCGCTTCTACGCCTAGGAACAAGATATTTCAACCGAGCGTATTTATGCACAGCAAGCAAATAATGGAGGCCTGTTATCAATCCGATATGAAGACTGGCCGGCAGGGGAAAATGGAGCCCGCAAGATCGGAGCAGTGAACAAGTTAATAGAAGACGACTCCGACTCCTGATGACAGCTATAGAACAGGCAGAAGAAATACAGGAAACGATGGAACAAGTTTTGAGGGAAGAATGTCAACGGATGGAAGAAGAAGAACCTTTACCTCAAGTACAGCAGCTTCTACAACAGCATGAAGAGGAAGTAAACGCACTGAAGGCAAGGATCGCAATGTTGGGGCAACAGATGGTCAAACCGGAACAGATGCCACACCAGGACGAGACCAAAGAAATGCCTTATCAGAGTGATATGGAAATGTCGGATGAGATTACCTCCTGAGGCTAATTAAAGAAAACCAAGACGACAAAAACCCAGCCCAGAACCTTGACGAAGCAAGCAAGGACACGAGCAAGTCCTCGAAGGAGCACGAGAAGAGAGCCGATGTCAAGTTTCTCATAGAATACGAAGCAAAGAAGCAAGCGTTAGAAAAGATGGAAAATGCTCTCAACTCCTTCCCCTACCGCCGATACACGCAGTACTCGGAAGGTGTCGAACCATGGCGCACCTGTATTTTCTGCGGTGCTCGAGCAGCGCACTATTCCGCCTCTTGTCCAACGGTTCGAAACGCGATAGACCGCGAACAAGTGGCATACACGCTCAAGCTGTGCAAGCTTTGCTTGGAAAACTGTGAAGAAGGCCGATGAAGGAAGGAGGGCCTGTTGCTACTGCAGCAAAATTGAAGGAACCCCGTTTGAAGATGTAATACCTCACGACAAGGGCCACCATCGAGCATTATGCCCCGTCACAGACGCAAAGTGGAGGATCGAAGCCAGGGTGCAAGCAGCAGTTCGCGAATTACAGGAGATGGAAGGAAATCGACATTCACGGCTGGGAATGTCGCGGCATTAATGCGCGACCTGGAAGATTCATCTACGATGGTGATACCATCTTCCACGTCTGTTGTAACGATATCGTTCTCTTGTTTGATATACGTTGCATTGTTTCTTGACGTGGAGAAGTGTCTGGTTCAGTTACTCTAGTTGAAGTAAAGATAAAGTGTTATCGGCTCTGTGCTCGTATCACGACAGATAGGGCCCGCGTGGCAGCACACAAGTTAATACATGGTGCATCGGCCGGGAAAGATAAAGGGTTACGGCACTGTGCTCGGATAATTACCCGCGTGGCAGAACAAGTTAATACAAGTGTGCTCATGCGAACTACAGCGTTCAAATACCTCAGATCAACAACCGTCTGACGGTAGTTATAGAGACTCTCGCTCTATTTAGAGTGGCTACATTATCATTACTGTATCATTATTGTAACCTTTATGATATTATCTTTTACTCATTCGGCTGTACGAATAGCCTTGTAAGCTCCAATATCGTTATCAGTAGGCTGATCTGAGCGATTGTATAGGTTTCTCTCTCACAACATTTCCTTATCATGTTTTTATCTCTTGCCAATACCAGCAAGCTCCGCCCACTTGACCAGCATAAAAGGAGCCCTGGTGAGCCGAGCCTCATAGTTTAATTCTTTCTTATTGCGGTGCTTCCAGATAAACGTTTAATTACCCAAGTTTGAGGCTTGAATCATCGACGACATAGTAGACTCTGCTCAGAAGTGAACGCGCGTGTGGGTGCAGCCTGGTCTAAGTGGCGGTCTATGACCGGCGTTCTTTGCGACAAGATGATACCAGATCGCCTCAAGTCGAAGATTTATAGGACCGTTGTTCGACCAGTCGCGATATAAGGTGCTGAATGTTGGTCCTCGAGAGATGTTGAAGCGCGCCTGGGAGTCATGGAGACGAAAATCTTGCGATGGACTGCCGGTGTCACTCGTATGGATCGCATACTCAATGACGACATAAGGAAGAAATTTGGTGTGGCTCCCGTGGCCGAGAAAATACGAGAAGTTCGCCTTCGATGGTACGGTCATATTCTTCGCGCGAGTTGTGACACCGTCCGCAGGATTGGTCTTGAGCTCAAAATTCACGGAAAGAGGCCTAAAGGACGCCTCAAGCAACGCTGGTCAGACACGTTGCATGCGGACTTAAAGATATTAGGTTGTCATAAGTTCTTATACACGACTTTTTTGTAAATATCTCAAAAACGAACCGGTCTGGAGATTGGAGGTATGCACCATCACCACTCACTACTCGACGACAGCGCTCAGGCAGCTTGTCGATTCCATCCTTCCAGAACGACGGAGGCTGGGACTTGAAGAAGTCGTCGAGCACCTTTCTGATCTGATCCTTTGTTTCGAACTTTTGTGTATCCAGATAGCGCTGCAGGTGGCTGAACAGCCAGTAGTCAGAAGGAGCGAGGTCAGGGCTGTAGGAAGGGTGGGCGACCATCAGCAGCCGTACTTCTCCAGCTCGGCCTGGGTCGCCTTTGCAGTGTGAGGTCGGGCGTTGTCATGGTGGAAGTAGATTTCCGCACTCGACGTGATCTTTCAATTTCCGCAGCTGGGTCACTTATGTGGAAGCGTCAATCGTCTGTCCCTTCTCCAGCAGTTCCCAGGACTCCATGCCTTTTCTGGACCACCAACAGGACAGGAGAACCTTTTTGGGGTGAAGGTCGGCCTTCGGGGTGGCTTCTGGCTGTTCTCCTTTGTCGGCCCACTGCCGCTTCCTCCCAGGGTTATCGTAGAGGACCCACTCCTCATCTCCAGTGATCATCGAGTTGAGAAAGTGAAGCCTTTTTTGGAAAGTGAGGAGAGAAGTGCAGGTGGTCATCCTCCTCGAGAGGTCATAAGCGGGACCCATCGACCAAGCTTTGGGGAGCTTTGGGAAAGCCCATATGTAATTCCCTTCTTTTGTGCAGACATCTTCGGTTGTTCTCTTACTGTTCGTCCCTTTAGTTTTTGTTTTATTTCATTTTTTGTTTTGTTTTGTTGTGCTGTTTTAATGTGGCCCCTTGCTGGCGACTTACATGCTCAGTCATGTATTAAACTGAACTGAAACTGAGTACTGCACCCATGTCATTGCATGACAGATGCACTGCACCCATCCTTGCCAGCAGGGCGACTTTTAAAAAGTGACGACTGGTGATAGGAGAAAGCGTACGTATGGATCACGGAGTCGGGAGAAATGCAGAATCCGCAAAAAAGAGGAAGTTAACCCTGTTCGCTGGGGATAATGGGATGAATAAGTGCGGATGCGTGAGGCGCAGCACCACCCTATTTTGCCTTCGCTGAGCGACAACACTGTATCATATCGTTCTTGTCCCTCGTTTTCCGTCAGTTGCCTTTTACCCGCTTTAATAGCTATGGGGACTGGGTCTGGTATCGCGCCAATGGTGGCCGCCCATCATCCGCAGCAGGCTGTATAGGTATCGACTTGAAAAGATGGCGAATTGGCAGAAATGCAGAGAATTCAGAATTCCTCAGAATACTCCCAGTGGCGGCGTCGAGGGCTCAACCCCTATCAATTGTGGGTATCATTTCGGCATTTCTCCTGACTCCGCAGCACCCCAATGAGATACTTCCGTCTATCTGCAGTCTCATCATTTCTTCAATATTGTCATGTATGAATGCGGCCTAATAATTAGCTTGCAAGATTGTTTCGGACTATATGTGCTCCAAATGAACGAAGGTGATGAGAAGAGCACTCATGAGCACAAGAGCGGTGGCAAAATACACGCGTTGTTCGAATTTATGCACTAAACATGGGCAGTGTCGTGACGTCTGCACGACTTCATCGCATAGCCCGCCCTCACGTTCGTTACTCACTGCTACACACTGCCAGCCGGACCGGAGGCGTGTGCGTCCTAGGGCACTTCTCAACCGGGAGGCCTCTCTGCCTTTTCGTTTTTCTTCATCCTTCCTTCTTTTCCTTCCTCCCTTCTCCGATCCCTCCTCCTTTGCCTTCTCCCTTAAAATACTGGACTGGTAGATGCCTCGAGAAAATACCCCTGGATCTTCGCAGCGAGAGGACGCTGCTGGCCGTAATTGCCACCTCCACCAAGCATCGGCTGCCGTGCCTTGGAACAGACAACTCGTCAGCCACTTATCACACTGATTCTCCACATTGATTCTCATGATCGATCGACCTGCATGGCAAGAGGCCTGCGCAAACGCCAAATCGCCTACTGTCTCAAATAGCATTGTCGTCCGTTTTGAGCTGATTTTCGACCTCTTACGCGCAACCCTCTATTGCAAACCCTTAATACTATTCTGCTACTATTGATTCATACAAACAATTCGTTTCTCTGGTATTACATTCGTCCAGCTATGATGGTTTATCGGCCAGTATATTTCTCATTACTTTTCTGTACAACTATGGCGTTACTAAGTCAGTGGTCGCTTTTGTACAGTTGCTCAAGAACTTACTTTTCATGCTGTTTGCTTGCTGGAAGAGTTTAGTTTCACGACCATCATAGGATCATGACACATTCTTATATTCAGTGCTCACAGCTTATTTTTTTCCTTGTTAAGGTTTACTCTTGGGAGTCCTCAGCTTTTATACATCTTCGTTCAACACTTTTTGTAACTGTATTCGCGATTAGGAACATTTTAACCGTGCTGGCGAGTGACATTTCTCCTAATTACTGCCAAGGGAGTGACGGATTTCGAGAAAATGTATGAGAGATTCTGTGCCTCCTTTGGGCACATCAAGCAAAATCAGCAACGCCGCACATCGCGTCATTACCCTAGAGCAGTAACTAATGAGAAACGTCAATCGTCAGCAGGCCAGAATTTTAGTTTCTACTTATAAACACAGATAAGGGGCTGAATACACAAAAATGGTTTCACAGAGTAATTGATAAGTTTCGAAGAATAACGTTTCGCTGGACTGTTCTAGTGACGACATAACATATTCCACGTACTCAGTGGTTTAATCAGTGCGAGCGTGTGTAAGTAATACCAGGTTAGAAAAATGAAAACGTGATGTTTCTATTTGTAGCTGCGGAACAGTGAGTGAACACGGATGTTGTACAAATATGTAAAAAAAGTTGTCAGGAACCTCCGAGGCAAACCTTAAGAAGGAGAAATACGAACGGGATAGAAGATGTGTTGATCCTGTAATGGTCATGAGACTATGCTTTCCAGCAAGCAAACAGCATGGAATCTGAGTATTTGAGCAGCTGTACAAAACTTATCACCGGTTTCGTAAAGCCATAGTTGTAAAGAAATGGAATGAAGAATATAGTAGTCGATAATCATCATCGTTACCGGACAGAAGAACTTTAGAGAAACGACTTTTTCAGAATAAATAGTAGCAAAATGATGTGGTGTTTCGCAGTGGAGGACTGGGGAAAGAAGTCGAGAATTAGTTCAAAATTGGACGAGCAAGCGTAGTTAACTGGTCAGATCGCAAATCCGCGTCTGTTTTGGCCTCTCACCAGTGCTGGTCGATCAGTTATGAGACCCAAAGTGAGAAGTGACTCGGACAAGTTGTACGACCAAACGAGCGACTGCAGAGGCTCAGTACAGGTGGCAGCTACGGCCAGCAGCGTCCCAGAAACAATTTGACAGCTTTCGGTCACGTCATCCGACCGCCTCTCGACCAGAATGTTGAAGGGCCGCCTTCACATCCGCACTGTCCTGTCGCGCATGGCTGGAAATAGCTGACTATTCGATGCAGCCTCCCATTTTGGGCCTACAAGCTGCCTTCCTCAGTTCGTACAACTCTACTGGATCGCAGTCGCCCGTATATCGCCCCTGTTCATCGCCCACGAGCTCGAGGCGACCCGTCCAGTCCCTGCCCCATTGTCCTTCGCCTTGCGCACTTGCCACCCTGGGGCAACACCTGTCCGGGTAACACCCCTTTCGTCTCATCACTCATGGATCGCCGCAATTGGACTGGCAACTAATCGGATCGCAGGCAACTCGCATTCCTCTTGCAGAGCGTCAGTGTCTGTGACGCAGGTCCTCACGAGCTCATCTGAGCACGCGTACGAGGGTGGAGA